GCAACTAACATAACGACATGTACATTTTATTATGGAATTTCTTGTGATATATTTATGTTGGTTAAAATTAGGATAAACGCAAGGACATTACATATTCTATATAACTTATCCGACGTTTATTTCTCCTTTTAGAATTGATCTCTCCTATCATATGTCTATATTTATATAAAATCATAATGTCCTTTTAATGTTTTATCTTTAGGTGTTAGAGTGGTAAATATTTTATTACTTGTTGTAGCATCAAGAGTGTGTTCAACAAATAATTTTTAAAAGCTTCTACCTTTTAGCTAAACAAAAAGCTTCAAATTCAAAAGTTACTTCCAATAGAGTTTAACAAAAAAAACTCTTTTATAAGTTTACAGATTGACTTAATTACCCTTTTTAAAATCAATGACATGTTTTAGATAAGCTATTTTAGTCCCTAGATTTATTTAAGGAAAAGCTCTATGTTAGGAAAAATGATGCCTTTCAAGCAAAAAGGGTAGTTTGACAATTTTTTGCCCTAGGTTTATTTAATTCCCTTTTAAATACTATTCTCATCTTATTATTATTATTATTATTATTATTATTATTATTATTATTATTATTATTATTGCTGTTGTTGTTGTTGTTGTTGTTGTTAATTAAAATTCTTGATTTCTAAAAATATAGTAAATAAATAAAAAACATGGGATATTACAAAAACATAGGATAACAGATGGTAGACTTTCTCTCTAACTTGTCTGGTCAAACCGAAGCTCGAGCTCCAAGTGAGAGTGTGTTTCCTAATCACTAAGGATCAAAGAATGATATACACCAAAGGTGAAGTTTAAGTGATGAGTTTGCTCTTGTAACTTCGCCTTTTTAGCAGCTTTATTTTCATTAAGCATCACTTCATAGCTGTCTAACCGTGGCCAAGACTTTGCTTCATGCCAAAGCTTTGCTTTAACAGCTTTGTTGTTTAGATCAATGGTAAATCTTGTAATAAAAAGCATCAACATATAATACACAGTAAAAATAATACGTTTTGAATAACTTGAGTGATTTTAACAGTAAATTGTATAAAAATAATTAAATAAATAAAAAAAAAAAAGCTGTTTATTAAAAATTATTTTTCCTACCATAAAAGCCATAAGTTTTACACCCCGAATCTAAATTAGCCCGAAATGAATTTTTTTTGTTTCTAATTAGCAATTATGTATGTGTTGCCTTTTGCCTCAAGCCCTGTTAGCCGATTTAGCTGGTTTCAACCAGTTACCCCTTTACAAATAGGGGTTTTACCGTTAGAAACCCATCTTCCGCCTCCTAATTCTTCCTTCTCTGACTTGTTCTTCCACGTAACAACTTCTTCATGGCTAGTTCATCTACAAGGTCTATAGTGTCAATGAGTTTAGGATTACAAAATGTTAATTTTAATTTCATGAACAGAAACAACCGCACGGTTTTTGTGTCATTGTGGTGTTGAGGCTAGCTTCTCAATTTCCTGGACGGACAAGAATCCTGGAAGGAAATTTAGAGGATGCACGAACTACAAGGTATGTTCTTCACTCTTTAATCCAATATAAAGTTTTGTTATAGGATTAAGGGCAAATATGTCATAAAAATATGCAGGATCCTTTCAGGTATTGTAAGTTCTTCATGTGGATAGACCCATATTTGCCTAGTGAAGATTACAAAACCTAATGTACCAAATGCATTTAGCTCTGGTTGGTATGGTTGATGGCAATGCTTAGTTGGAACAGGTGAATGTGGATCAAAATAGAAGCTTGATGTTGATAATGAAGCTTTTGTTCATCATAGTCATGCTATTTATAGTGATGTTGGTAACATGGCTTGTACTGCTGGTGAAAGTGTAGGAAGTTAGGAAGTAAAGTTTAGTCTTTTGTGAAGTTGTTGGTTAGGTGAAAGTTGTATTAAATGCTTATTTTGGGAATTGGGTATTACATTCCTATGGAACAGTTCTGATAGCATCTGAAAAACATTTTGAAGGTTGTAATATGGGTTCCCTTGTAATATATAGTCATACGGGACAATTACTATGAAAAGCATTAACCAGAAATTTACAATGTACTATTTATTACAAACTGACATTGAACTTACTACAAACCACAATCTTGATAAACATAATATCTAAATACATACATGAAGGTTAACAATCAGAACCAAACTTCCAATTTTACAACAATGTTTACAAGCCAAAATATGATTTCCCAAAATGACAATGTACTTACTACAAATTACAGTCAAAAGATAACATGTTGTCAAAAAATTGGAAGCTTGTTACCAAAAGACGCTTTCATAAAAAAGGGCTATCAAAAGATTTATGCCCAATTAACCCCCCATCCATAACAACATCAATCCAATGTAATTATTTTCTGAGTTGTTGAACCACCTCCATCTGGATCATGCACTGCTTTTTTCAACTTGATCTTGATAATTCTTTCTAAGGGCTTCCTTTTTCATACCAACAGATCTTGTGTTTCTTGAATGGTCTCTTGGTCAACTATACTCTCAACCAATATTTCCTTCCTCTCTTTTGTCAACTGTGAATAAGAAATTAACATATTATCACATAATGTTCAATAAAATGGTGTTAATCACTAAATTTATAACTACACACCTTATTAAACGCTTCAGCAATTTCCCCATGATCATATCCAGATGCCTACAAATCTTTAATAGTTTCAAAATCTTCCTGGTCAAGCTTTTCATGGCAGGTAAGTACAACTTCATCAACACTTGCCACAGTTTAACTTAAACTACCATGCACAACCCCTATTCTCCCTACATATTTGATCTTACCTCCCCTCCTTGCCATCATCTTCATTCTCTTAAAAGGAGCAATAGACTAGTCAACATCTATCATCTTACCTGTTTCTTTTGATGTGCCCTCAACAACTTTCATCTTTCACTCACTTGCTTCTTTTTATGTGCCCTCAACAACTTTCTTCTTTCCCTCACCTGCTTTCCTTGGTGTCTTTGCAATGTTCACAGCTTAATCCCCCCCCCCCCAAATCTCCCTTTGGTCTTCTACATTTCCTTTTAGGGACAAGATTACTTGGACCTTCTCCATTCTTACAAGACAATTTATTATGACCAAGTTCCTTACATTTACCACACCTAACAGTCCTGATAACCTTTTCCTTTTAAGTGTTGTTGTCTTCTTTTTGGTGGTGAGGACTGAACTTTCACTTTCTTTAGGAACTTAGAATCATGAGCTTCTGAGGCATGTCTTATTCTCTTTGTTTTTGGCCTTACAAGCATTATCCTAAGAAGGGGTGGTAAGGGCTTCAGATATTCAGTATGGGGCCACATATTACTTCCATTAACAGTTAAGATATTGTCCCTATAAGTCTCTATGAATTTGTCCTTATGGAACCAAAAGGAAATAAAATCAACTGGATTTATATGTGTGAGATTGATTGCAGCTTGAGCATGGACACATGGTAACCCTGATATCTCCCATAATCTGCATTAACAAGAATGAGCATCTAAATCCACATTGTAAGCTAAAAATCCATGCCTTGTCTCAAATATTGCCCCTCCAGTTGGTATTACTATCTAGAACCTAAAACGGTTAGTGTAAGTAATTAGTAATGCACATGTATATACTTAAGATCAAAACTAAAATAAAATAAGCATACCTCAGTTGCTTTCAAACTCCTTAATCTTCTCTAAGGTGTTTGGGCCATAGTCACCTTTCCATTGAGAAACTATATCAGCTTGATGATAAAACATATTCATCAAATAAATGCTTATTTGCTCAAGCATTGTTAGAAGTGGTTTTTTCTCATTTGGAATGATCATCAACCATTCATAACCACTGGGAGTTATGTGTTTGATTTTTTCCATTGTTGCTATAAAGTCCCCTTCCATAGTACTTTTGGCAGCTTCCCGAAACAGGTTCTTAAGCTCTATTCCAGTGTATTTCTTCCTAAAGTTTGCATAGATATGCTTGTCACATTATCTATGTTCAACATATGGAAGTAGTTCTGTAACAGCTTGTACTAGACCCTAACATTTAATAAACAAAATTAATATAAATGTGTAATAATTAAACAAAATTTACATTATAATTTACCTTGTGTTGATCGGAAATAACCACAAGACCCCTACCACAATCAAGATCAACTACTAGCTTGTAGTATACCCTGACATTTAATAAACAAAATTATTATAAATGTATAATAATTAAACAAAATTTACATTATAATTTACCTTGTGCTGATCGGAAATAAGCACAAGACCCCTACCAAAATCAAGGTCAAGATCAGCAACTAGCAACTCAAGAAACCAATTCCAATTATCTTTGTTCTCTACATCAAATATTGCCCATGCTATTGGATATACATGATTGTCTACATATCTTCCAATAGCAGTCAAAAGTTCTCCCTTGATCTAACCCTTTAGGATCACACGTCTGTAACCCCTATTTCAACCATCCTTAAAATCCTTTAAGCACACATAAAACCTTTTGAATTAGTTCATGCTAGTTTCATCTGAATCTACTCCCACCTTACAAGTGCTCCCTGGGTTAGACCTAAGGATTTCTACAACATAGTCCCATACTTGTGCATAATGTTCTTCTAACTTACCTTCTATCATCTCTCTTGCCTTTGTCTTAGCCCTGTGACATTGCGCCATAGATACATCTACTGAAAACATCCTAAGTACATCTTCCTTCATCTCAGTTAATGTCATCTTTGGCTTCATAATAATATCCTTCAGGTAATGTTTGGCTAACCAGTTGCAACCAACCAAAGTTCCAAAATTACAATTTCTAGCACATAGATGTATGTCACATATAGATTTAATCTGAAATGTTCGTTCATTATACTTCCAAGCAACATAAACTCTAAAGGGACATGGGTCTTTTTTTATATATTTTCCCACACCTAGCAATCACTCTATGCCTATCACTCTTCATAAACCACAACCGATATCCATTAGCTACTGTATAGTTAGTTAATGCAAACCTGAGTTGAGAATGGGGCTCATAACACTCTTCGCTTCATTTGTTTCTAATAGATGTCTGGATCATGAACCCTGTACTCTACACCCACTTCACCATCATTTTGATCATCAATATGATCAAGTTTTGAATCCTTAACACCAGCTTCTTGATCTTCATCTCCCATTCCATCAAGAGTCCTCCTTAGCACATTTTCATCACATAATATGTTGAGGAATGGGTCATCAGACAGGTTTGAGGTTGGTTTAAAGGTTTCTGGTGCAAAATCCAGGAAACGGAAATCTATGAGATCATCATCAGAGTCCTCATCCTTTACATAAACCTTTTCAGGCCCTTTCACATTTTTACTTCCAAATGATGAAGCCATCTGTTCAAGATGAAAAATTAAACTTGTAAGTGACACTATGGAACTCGATTATGGAAGATAAGAACACACATACACATCAATTTCTTATTGGCACCCCACATACCTTTCTACTTCAGTGTCTTTCAACTTCAAAATAGAAGTTTTTTACATGCAACAATGGTGCAAGAAACCCTTTTCAAACCCTTCTTCTTCCTAAGACCAACTACATGAAACCCTTTTTTTATGTAAATAAATTTATGTAAAAAGGTGATTTAAGTGATGTTTGGTGGAGTACGGACGATTTTTCAAAGATCGAGTAGTATAGGAGAGTGGTGACCGGTTGGATGTCTAATTGTCCAGGCGGTAATAATAGTATCTTGTACCTGAACCGGTGGCTCACTTTTTCTAAGTAATGGGGAAGAGGACCGAAACATGCTACTGAAAGACTCTACTGAGACAAAGATGGGCTGTCAAGAACGTCAAGAACGTAGAGGATGTAGGATGAGCAGTTGGTCAGATCTAGTATGGATCGTACATGGATGGTAGTTGGAGTTGGCGGCTCTCCTAGGGTTCCCTTATCGGGGATCCCTGGGGAAGAGGATCAAGTTGGCCCTTGCGAACAACTTGACGCACTATCTCCCTTACCTTAACTTGTTGTTAACCTGTTGATAATATGATTTTGAAAAATGGTCACAATTATTTAGGTTAATTAGAAACAAAAAAATCCATTTAGGGCTAATTTACAATACAAATGTAAAACTTATTATTTTTATAGTATTAACACTTTTGGTAATTACTATTAAGGTTACATGAAAAGAAAAAATAAATAAAACTATAAATGTGAAAGGCGCATACCAGAATAGTGCATTTAACTGCCAGCAAAGTCAAAATCAAAGTCGTCTCTCCAACCCCAACACTACTTCTGGTTCTAAGCAGCGAAGACCTTCTCGATCAAGGCAACCTCCTCGCTAACTGCACAAGGTTCTCTCTTTTTCTATCATCCATCTCCATTCTTAATCTTTATCTGACAGCTATAGTTTTGTGTTTGATTTTGTCTTCTATCTTAGCACTCCGGTGAATTGCAATCACAATTACAATGGTTTTCCGATAATTACTTGTGTCTGATTGTTCATATCTTGATACTTCCGATTCACTTTGGATCTTGGTTTTTGTTTATTATTAGAATGTAGTTCCCCCAACACTTAGATTCATTAATCGAGTACTCCATTGCATTGAAAAAACAGGGGTTGACTCTGAGCATTTTAATATCCAATCTGGAACGAGTTAGATCAGCCATTGAATTACTTCGACAACAGGGATGACACTGCTACCAAAAATCGCTTTTCTCAATCTTCTAATGATCTTCCATGGAAACCAAGTAGAATCAGATGCCTCTAATCATCACTACAAAGATGGAGATATTGTCCCCTTGTATGCTAACAAAGTTGGCCCATTCTCTAATCCTCGGTTAGTCATATCTCCTCCAAAGTTTTTATTTTTATTTTTCAACTAATTCTTGTTTAAATTGTTTCCAGGGAAACATATGCTTATTATGATCTTCCCTTTTGTTCTAAAGGTACTTCTTTATTGCATATGTTGATCTTCCTTTTGTTATCTTTACAACTTACTAAAAACTTTTCTAATTCCTATATTGTTTTTGTAATAAAAGATATTGTGAAAGAGAAGAAACTTAATCTAGGGGAGATGTTGAATGGAGACCACCTTGTTTCAACTCCTTATAAGCTTGAATTTCTTGTGGAAAAACATTTCGAAGTATTATGCAATAAGACACTGAGTAAAACAGAAGTTTCTAAGTTCAGAAAGGCAATAGAGAAGGATTACTATATGCAATTGTATTACGATGACTTGCCAATGTGGGCTTTTATTGGAAAGTTCAAAAAAGATCATATCGATGAAAAGATGAAGAACAAGTATTTTCTTTTCAAACATTTTGATTTCGAGGTTCTTTATAACAAGAATCATGTTATTGAAGTCAGTGTCCGAGTGCGTAAGGATTTATTCATAGATGTAACAGAAGACAAGGAAGTTGATGTGGGCTTCACATACTCTGTTATGTGGCGCCAAACACAACTATCATTTGATACGAGAATAGATAAATACATTAGTTCTTCGATTGCACAAAACCATATGTCTGTGCATCATCACTCAGTTACATTCTCAAGTGTCACACTCCTCATTCTGATCATTTCCCTACTGACATTTTATGTTTTTGTCCTTCGCAAAGACATTTCTAGGTATTGATTCTATTAATAAAAAAATAAAAATCTAAGTTTGTGTTTCCATTTCATAAAACCCTTATGTTGCGTTTGTTGTTTCCCCAATGCATGAAAAACGAAAGGAACTTAGCTGATGTGGAAGAGGATATATTGAGTTATAATAAACAAGAAGAGATAGGATGGAAGAATGTTCATGGTGATGTATTTAGATTCCCACAATACAAGTCTTTATTTTCTGCGGCTCTTGGTGCTGGAACCCAGTTACTTATATTGTTAGTACCTCCAAATAACGTGACACTTATTTGAGAATTATATGTTTTTTCGAAAATTATAATTCTTTTCAATTTGAAGATTTTTGTGGTGGGGACCATTCAAAAAGAAATTTCGTAACGAGATGTGTTCGGAAATTGGTGGACATTTTGTTCAAGGAGTTATACCGTTTTTGTCATTTTGTCATTATCCCTTTATTTTATTGTTTTTTATATTTGACTTTTTGGTCATATATCTGAAATTACTTTTGTACCCTTTCTTTTGTTGGATTTACAGGAGCATAGCAATTCTTGGTCTTGGTGTCCTAGGTTTTTTTCAGCCCTATATGCAAGGAGTACTCTGGAAAGCACTTATCATTGTATATGCACTTACATCTTTGATCTCGGGATATACTTCTGTTTCCTTCTATTCTCAACTCGAAGGAACAAACTGGGTATGTGAAAATATCAAAATTTAGTTCGAAACTTATATATTTGAGTGATTTTTATTTATATAAAAAAAAGTTCAATACTGATTGACTCTCTTGTTTTCTCATTGACAGATGAAGAACCTAATACTTACAGGAGGATTATATTTTGGGCCACTCTTTGTTACTTTTACTTTCCTAGACATTGTTGCAACATTTTATGGATCAACTACTGCATTACCATTGAGAGCAATAGTCATGTTATCTCTCTTGTGGATATTCATAGCATCACCATTGCATCTTTTAGGAGGCATTATTGGGAAAACCAGAATGTCTGAATTCCAAGCTCCCTGCAAAACCGCTAAAATTCCTAGAGATATTCCTAAGCCGCGTTGGTATAGGGGTGTTCTTCCTCAGATGGCTTTGGCAGGAATTTTGCCTTTCAGTGTCGTATATATTCAGTTGTACTACATACTGGCAAGTGTTTGGGGACTTCGCTTTTATACAGTTTATAGTATTCTGTTCATTGTCTTCTTTCTTCTTCTTATCATGACTGCTTTAGTTTCTGTCGCACTGACATACTTCCAGCTTGCTGCTGAAGATCATCAATGGTGGTGGAGGTACGTTTAAATATATAGTTGGTGTGATCGATAGTGGATGGATTTCTATACGGGATTAGAACTAATAAGAGTTTTTTATTTGACACAGGTCATTTTTGTGTGGTGGATCTACTGGATTGTATATATATGTTTATTGCATCTATTATTATTTCGAGAAATCAACTATGAATGGATTCATGCAGACGTCCTTTTACTTTGGATATATGGCTTGTGCATGTTTGGGAATATTTCTTATACTTGGAAGTGTGGGTTTCAGTGCCTCGTTGCTCTTTGTTCGTTATCTTTACGCGGCTATAAAATGTGATTAGCAGAGTAGCAGGTGCTTTTTGATATAGAATTTTATTTTGATATTATTGTGTTATAAATTTAGCATAAATGCAAGTACATTGCTTGTTCTGTGTAACCTATCCAATGTTCATTTCTCTTTTTGGAATTGATCTCAATAATCATATGTGATATGTACGAATCTATATAAAAGGATGTTGTCCTTTTAAAGTTTTATTCCTTAATTATTATGTGTTGTAGTGGTAAATCTTCTATTATACGTGTAGTAATATATAAGTTAGTAATAATTTTTTTCCTTAAGCCATCTTTGGCTTATTTAACATTGGTGATCAAGTCAATTAATTAATCAAGGAAGATAATTCTTAGGTCACAAAAAGACCGCACCGAAAGGGACTGGTTTGAAAAAATACCGGACCGAGAAAGGACCTGCTCACGAGCGTTCGGAACTGATTCAGAAAAGAAAAAAAAAATCTGAACCAACCCAAGACCAGTCCTAGACTATAATTTTGTTTTTGTTTTTGTATATCATAGATAACTACTGATAAAAAGAATTGAGAAAAAAAAACTCTTTTAAGTTTAAAAAGAACTAGTTTATATAAATTTTAATTTATTTACCAGCCTATAGATTATAAAAAACAAATAATCTTATTCTTGCATACGGCATACCTTTAGTTCACCCCTTCTTCTGCAGTGTTATACTGATATGATCCACAGACTGCAGACATTTTATATCGTAAAAAACCAAAAACAGTGATAAGGTGTTTCTAAAGACAAATCATTAGTATGACTCAACATGGTAGCATGAACGGGTTTCAAATAAAAAAAATACAAACATGCTACGAACAGGAAAATTTATGAAATCATCTTATGTGAAATCACCCCTAAAAAGAATTAATGGAAAAAAACTATATACATTAAACCATCTATGGGAAAATCGAAATAAATGATTTAGAAGTAATAAACACAAAAGTAAGATGCATTGTTAAAATCCTTAAACATATGAGAATCGAGTCGGTTAAACCGATACTAACATCACATTAGTTTTGTTTTTCCCAAACTTATTATATGTTAATATTTATATTAAATAATGTTGTTTTTATGATTTTTGTCTTTTTGTTTAACATGTTTTTATACTTTAAATATATTTTTGTTGAAAGCTTTAAAAAATGAAGTCGAAGGTTTGAAGCTTTTAAAAAATTTAAT